TTATACTTTATACTGTATATATTTGAATATATAGAAGTTGAACAATATTGATAATAATAAAATTTTGGATATTGTTTTTATTTTTAAAATAGTATATATTTTTTGTTATTTTTTATAGCTTATTTTATTTTTTATAGCCAAAAGACATCATGGAAGAAAAAAATTTAACTGATGAACAAAAAAAGTTTTTGGAAGAATGTGAAAATGAATTCAAAGATCGATATACAGAAAAAGATATTGAATTTATGAAAGTTAAAAATATGGAATTAAAAAAACCTCCAATCATTGATCCTTGGTATCCTAGAAGAAAAAGATATTTTTTTCCCCAAGAAAGAGGTGAAATATATAGGAATTCTGATAAATATTATTCTCAACGTTACAGACCTTATAATTATTAAATGTATAAAAAAACTTTTGTAAATTTTATAATAAATTTTTTGTAAATAGCTTTATAATTAATCTATAACCATTCGTTATGTAATAAAGTATTAATTAAATTCATATAATTTTGTTATAAACATATTTTTAAATAATTGTTATTAAACATATTTTTATCTATTAAATTGTAATATATTTTACATTGATTATTGTATAATTTAAAAAAAAATTAATATTTAATTTGCATTATTTAATAAAAATCAAAAAAATTTAACTTTCAAAATTGATTTAAATTTAACATTATAATTTTGTATCAAGCTTTATAAGAATATTTAATTATTTTTTATAAGAATTATTAAATAAATGTAAGATTGTTATGAATTTCTTTATAATATCTAATCTAATTTAATAAATAATTTATATATTATGTAACTACCAGATTTTCTATGGTAATATGATAAGATTTCTATGTTTGTTAATTCTTATTGATATAACGTTTAAATAACATAATCATCTTATATGAACAATGTGAATATATATATATGTATGAATTTATATATATATATATATATATATATATATATATAAGTTTATATGTATATAAATATTGAAAAACATATGCTTCATAGTTACAGAGTCAGTCAATTGAACGTTTCATTTACTTTCGGATATATATCAATCTAACTTGTAGTGTACATTGTTCGCGTGATTAACAAATGAAAGCTTTATATGGATAAATTCTATAACATTCGCAATAATGCAGAATACAAATTTTATTTAAGTTCGCGAATTTAATGCAGTTGTAATATTTTTAAATGACATGCGTGTGCGCAAATTTTAAAAAAAGAATTGTGTAATAAATATAATACAATATTATATTCTACTATCTTTTATTTGTGATATATTTATTATTCATTTATAAATGATTAAATGATAATTTATAATAATAGTTTAGTTATTTATTAAAGAAAGTAACGTTTCATTCTTTAAATTTTTGAGATAATAAATATCCTCTTTAAATACCCATATAAAAATATAAAAAAAATTTTTGATAAAATGAAATTAAATTATTTAAAATTGCTTAAAACAATTATTTTTTAATATAAATATCTGATTTGATAAATATGAATTATTTCTTTGAAAATTTTAAAAATTAAAAAAATATATATATTTTTATTATTTTTTAATAAATTAAAATAACATATTTTAATTCTTCTTTAGATCTTCTTTTAATTTAAATATCTTCTTTAGATTTATAAATTATCATTAAAATTAAAAAACATTGAAAATTCAAGAGAGAGAAAGAAAAAAAATTAAAATTTACATTTAAGTTTGTAAAATAAAAAAATTTATAACTTTATAAAAAGAAATAATATAAGAGTATATATATAATATAAGAGTATAATTTATTGTTTTATGCAAATTTTATATGATAACTTTTAATGGCTTGGTGTAAAAAATTATTTCATAGAAGGTATAGTATTATAAAATTTTTAAATATTTAATAATTTTTATCATAAATAATAAGTTTTATTTTTATTATAATAGAAACAATACTTTTGTGGATGATGATTTGGAAACTGTTTTTGAGAAAAAAGAACGATGGAGAAGCATTTATGTAATTTATTTTACTATGTTTCTTATGTCTTTGGGTTTTAGTATTATACTAACAGGAGTATGGCCATATCTTGATAAGGTGAATACAATAAAGGAAAAATAAAGATGAATTTTGATATATAATAATGTTATACATCAATATTGTAGTTGGATAATACTGCTGGTAAAGAATACATGGGATATGTAGTTGCAGCAAATCCTTTAGGGCAAATGTTATTTTCTCCTCTAGTAGGATGGTGGGGAGATAAAAGAGGATCTATAAGACTTCCACTTTTATCAACATTAGCTTTATTTACATTTGCATCAGGATTATATAGTGTTCTTGAGATTGTACCAGGTGATCGAAAAATGTATATGATAGTTGCCAGATTTTTAGTTGGAGTTAGTTCTGGTAATATATAATAATATGTTATTTAATTGTTATTTTTATTATATTTTTATTATATTAATTAATAATATTAAATATTATCTATTAAATATTATTAAATCTTAAATATAAAATCTTATTATTTATTTTCATAATATGATACTTTCAGCTAATATTGCAGTAGCACGGTCTTATCTCTCAGCAGCTACAAAATTTGTGGAAAGGACACATGCTGTTTCAATGGTATCTCTTGCTCAGGTAATATAAATTTAATATTTTTTCATGTAAGTTAATATAATTTCTTATAACTTAACTTATCCTAAAATATCTTAGGTATTAGGATTTGTGGTAGGTCCTAGTTTACAAGCTGCAGTTACACCTCTTGGAGAAAAGGGTGTATATTTTATAAATATACCTATTAATATGTATACTATGACTGGTTGGATAAATGTCATAATGGGAATTCTTAATTTTATTTTATTCCTTCCATGGAATTTTACAGAACGTCGAATTGCTATTCGCGAGGCAATGCGAAATGAAGGAAAACAAACTGGTAAATATATTTAAATTAAACAATAGTAATCAAATATTAATTATGATTATTATTAAAAAAAAAAATTTTTATTACAGAGGAAGAAACATTGAAATCTATAAAACCAGACAATTTAGCAGCCTGGACATTAATTTGTGCATTTTTTGTCTTAGTATTTAATTTTGTTCTTCTTGAAACGTTAGTTTTAAAATATAAAATATTTTTTTATATTATAATCATTTCTTTCATTTTTTTTTTTTTTTTACAGACTTGGTACTTCTTTAACTATGGATCAATTTGCATGGTCAAAAACAGAAGCTTTATATTATATGGGTATATTAATGAGTATTGGAGCTGTTGTATCATGTATCACATTTGTTATGATTGAACCTTTGTGCAAAAAGTATAAACTATTTATACAGATATTATAAAAAATGATTTTTTATGATTTTTATTTATCTCTTAAATATTTTTAGATTTAATGAACGTAAGGTAATGCTATGGGGTGGATTTTTATTCATGGTAATAGGAAGAATTTTATGTATTCCATGGGGACCAGGTCCTCCGAAAATTGCTTATCTGGAATGTAAGTATACACAAACATAGCATCTCATTTATATCATATATAATATTTAATAATTTCAAAATATTAAATCAATTTTAAAGTTGCTAGATAAAATAATTAAAAATAATATATGCTTAATACATTTTTGAATATTATATATTTATTATATTTTATAGCATTTAATAATATTACAAAAGATTCCAATGGCACAGAAATTGTAGGATGTCCAAGTACTCAAGAATGGTGTAGCTATACACCACAACTTACACCTGTACAGTTTTTTATTGGATATGGATTCACTACTATAGGATATCCATTAGGTATTACTTTAATACAAACTATCTTCAGTAAAGTATTAGGACCTCGTCCACAAGGTGTTTGGATGGGTTTTATGACAGGTGCTGGATGCGCTTCTCGTGTCTTAGGTCCAGTATTTGTTAGTGTAATTTATACTCGTTTTGGAACGTATCATACCTTTGGTATCACTGGATTAACATTAATAGTATGTATGTCATGGTTACAAATTGTAAACAAACGATTAGTTCCACCAAAAGCAACAATTCTATCGAAAGATATGGAAATTCCATTAGTTCATCTCAAATCTAATGATATTCAAGATTTAAATGATGCACAAAAAAACAATAAAAATGAGGAATGTGATAAAATGTAGTAAATAATACACTTTAAAAGAAAAATTTTAATTTTTATAAGATTATATAAATATATATTGAACAACAATTTAGAATTACAGTATATAAATGCAATTATGATATAAAATTTAAGTATATTTTTTATGGATATTTACAGATTTTTAATACATGTTTTAAATATATAACTCATAGGTTATAAATAAATATATAAAAAATGAAAGAATATAATTAAGATTATGAAGATAGTTTTTAGAACAACACAAACAAATTTTTATAATGAATTTGTTTTTTTACAATCAAATTATTACTATATAATTTGAATTTTATTTAAAAATCAAAATTATATGCATAGTACAATATTGTCAATAATTTATACTTAATAGTTATGCTAAAAAAAAAAAAATAGAAATTTATGATCAAGCATATAAAAATTACAAGTATAATAAATTTTTAAATACTCAATAATTTTATAACAACAAAAAAAAATATATATAATATAAAAGTTTTTAAATTTATATAAATATTCATTTCATATGAAAAGACTGATATTTTGCTCAATTTATATCTAAAAATAAGGGTGCTATGAAATTTGAAGATTGCAAATGCCTTTTATCAAATAATCTGAATTTGTACTTACCACAAATAATTGAATGAGAATTTATATTTAAATAAACTCAGTGAAAATTATAAATTAAAAAGGTTGTATATATATGATTTAAACAATAAAAAATTTTAAATTTTTATAATTAATATAATCATTTAAAATTAAATAAAATTATAATTTTAGTGAAATAAGTATAAAGTGTATATATGTTTTCTAAAATAATTATATTCATAAATAATGTATACAATAAAGAATATGGTGAAGCAATATATGTATTGTATTAAGAAATTAGGATTGCAATTTCAGATTTATGAAAATTAATTAAAATCATAAAACATATTTAAATTTATTTGTATATCTTAATGAAAGTAAAAATTATTTAATTGTCAATTACTATGACAATTTAATGTCTTACAATTGTTAATATAGATATTGTAAAAATGAAAAATAATTTTTACAAAAAGTTAAAAACATTACTATAAATACATACATTTTATATAAATGCATGTTTTTATAGGAGTTGAATTATTTTAAGTTATAAAAAACATTAACATGTATTCTTAGAATTATATGACTGAAATGGTTGATTTTATATAAATAACACTTATAATTAATCTTTTTTCTTTGGTTTCTTGGGATTACGTGATCGAGATTTAGCTTTACAAAGAGGACAGATTGGTGCATTTCTATGTATTTGTTGGTGACATGATAAGCATGATTTCATAGGAGGTGGTTGTTGCCTAAAAACAAAGATAAAATGTAAAAACTAATATATTAATATACATATATAATATATTTTTGTTATTGAGATTTATAAAATCAAATATATATCTGATTTAAAATTAATTTGATAACTTATATATTATATAGTAATATAATATAAAATTGCGATATACCAGTGGTACCTGAATGTTGGAGCAGGTGGGCCTGGGGCTGGTGGTAATGGTCTTGGTTCTGGCTTACTTGGACCTTGAAGAGGTTGAGGAGCAAGAAAAGGTGTTGAACCACCTGGATGACCAGGATGATGTAAAGTAAGAGGAGGTAATAAATCTTCTCCTCTTACTTCTACTCTCCATTCTGCTTTTTGCATTGGACGGTCAAAATAACTGTAAACAAATAATTTTTCTAATAATAATCCAATTGATATAATATATATTTGTTTTATATTTAACTTACTCTGGTGAAATGAGATCAGATTCTGTTTCATATAATTCTGGTAATCTTTCCAATCCTAAAAATTCTCTACGCATACGATCAATATCATGTTTTAAAGGTTGATAATCATTATTGTGAATTAATTTTGCAGTCTCTCTTGCTTTATTTCTAGCTTCTTCTGCTTGTTTAATAACAGCTTCCATCTAATACAATTATATAAATAATTATATATAATTTATTTGAAAAACGATATTAAATCCATATTTTATCATACCGCATTTATATCTGCATGTATTTGTCGTAATTCTTCAACATGTGCCATTTTTTCTTGCATAAGAAGATCCATTTCCTGTTTATATTCCAGTAAACATTTTTCTTCTTGTTCAGTCTGTTCTACTTCTTGCAAAATTCTTTGCTTCATTTTTTCCAATTGAAGTGTTTTTGACCTAACAAAATAAATATTTCAAAACTTTTTTTCACAAAAAATAAATTGAATCATATTACTATTTATTATATTGTTATATGTTATTTTAAAACAATTATTTAAAAATTTTTAAATTATTTAAAAAATTATATCATATTTAAAAAAGAATTCATATAGATGAACAAATTTTTATATGTACTTAATGTCTTTCAACGCTTCTAGTTTTGCAAAAATAACCGTAGTTTCAGTGGCTGACATTATTAAACTCTTCCTAACACTTTTGTTTAGACAAACTTTGTCAAATGGAAGATAATTTGTTTATAAAATAAATGCAACAAGCTCAGAAATAAAATTTCTTTCGTCAAGGCATCCCGGATAAAATATTTAGGATAGAATTGTTAGGATATTGTATATGCACTATATTTTCATTGAAAACGAATAAAATCGTTATATTTGTAATTATGTTTTTGGAAATTAACCAATTTCGTTGACATTTAACACAATGAACATAATTAATATCATAAATTACAATGACAGATGTCTTTTTATAGATCAGAAACAACAAATTCAGATGGATGTATACGCCGTTCAACGATACATCGGTGAACTAACAAAAGAGCGGTTTATTTTGAAAGTATAAGATAAATAGATTTAACAACATTTTACCGCAATCTAATAAAATTAATTATGAAAATTGGATACGAGAAAGTATATAAGTTTAAAATGTTCATAACAGATAAAAAATTTATTATCAAAAGTTGTGATCATATTTTGATAAATTAATTTTATTCTTGAATTTTATTAACTAATTAATCATCTTTATTTACTAATCTATTAAAATTCGTTAAAAATTATTCAATTAAAATATATAATCGATTATAAATAAATTGTGCATATATTATCTATAAATAAATTTAAAATATCTAAATATAAGAATTTGAAACTCAATTGATAACTTTATCAAATTTTATGACAGTAAGCGATATTTTCCTACTTGCAATCTTAATAAAAATTCTTTTCCTAAACAAAATCGTTTAATAATATTTGATATTTTCTGCGAGTTAGCGAAAAATCTAGATTATCAATCTTTGTACAAATATCTATATATCTCATATATAGGTAAAATTATATATTGACGCTTTCAAATGGAGCGCGCATATCTCTAGTCATGTATCTCTGAAAAGATTTCTTCATGACGATTCATCGAGGAATCGTGACGGAATCTTAGTCAGCAATCGGTATCGCTTATGCGCGGGATCGATCTTATTGAAATGCGATCAATCATGAATAGTTAATCAATCTCGGACTGAAATCATTTATCAATTCAACCGGGACACGGTCAACAAATCTATATTGTAATCTTTAGTGATTTTTCAAGAATTCATGAGACAAAGAGGATGGTCATGACCAATACATCGTAAGTTTTATTTTTTTCTATGTCTCGTAGAATGAATGGCGTTTGTAGAAGACATAATGGAACCGAACAGATATCGTGAATGGAACCAACGAAGAGATACGTATAGATGTCTAATATTCTACAAAACGTTATTTAGAAGCGGAGAGTTGTTCCAGCTTTTACAATAATCCAGATAAAAGAAAGAGAAAGAAAGAGCCAAATTGGAAAAGTGCCGTGGTTGGTGATTATGATGATTTTATGTTTCTCCCTTGATTTTTTTCTATATATATACCGTCCAGTATATATTAGTCGTCCTTCTACTTAATACTGAGTACTTTTTCTGCCGCATCTGTATGACTAAACATTGACAAACTTTCAAGTGTTTGAAGCTTCACGAACTATGAGAATATAGAACAAAGAAGAGGTGCCCTGGGAGACGTGAAGTTAAGCAGTTTCAACGGGTTCCTCGTTGCGCACGCGGAGGGGAATAATTTTTCCTTTTTAACGGCGACCTCTCTTTTCGTGTGTATTAGACGAGTTTCTACGTGGAAGCATTATGGGATCCAGAATGGGATCCAGAATGGGATCCAGAATGGGATCTAGAATGTAAGTAATTCACATAGATGCTTATTTTCAAATTTTTATCCTTCTCTTCCTCGTTTATCTTCCTCGTTTTTTACGTTGCATGTAACGAATATAAAAGGGTTAACGAATGATTTTATGAATAATTGTGCATTATACAGTTAAATTCCGATAATATAAAATAGAAATTTCTATGCAAATATGTTTGTCATCGAACTTTGATTTGATTTGAACTTTCGCGATTTTTGAACGATTTTCCTTTAATTTCGCAAATCATCGAAATCAAAAATCATTGCAACTTTCTCGTGTTTACAAATGAGTTTAACTGAAACATGTGTCTCTGAAGATGTGGTCAACATTTTCAGTCATGAATTATCTAAAAATAATGTTTTCATATTCTGTGTTAGGATAGATCAATATGTGTATATACATTATTTATCACGTTTCACAAACGAAGATGTATCGTGATTGTTTTTATCTTGTCAAATTTTTTTATAAATATCATTCGTTTAATCAATGCGCTAATAAAACGTACTTTCGATATTTTCGTGGGACAAAAAGAATAGTGACGCGCATCCTCATGCAGTCGATGATTTCTCTCTCTCTCGAAAAAAACTCTGTTATGATAATCATCGTGATAATCGCTTGGAAATGATGGCTAGGCTTGAAGATGGTATTATGCTAAATTGATAATTACAACGCTTCTTTGTTGCATTGAATTATGGGATAATTGGCGCAAGGATGAATAGTGAAATGAGTTGAGAAACTAACTGATACGTACTATATTAACATTAACATTAACATGTATGTATCATATAATTTATTTCGCATTTATTCAAATTCCATAATATTTATTTTTATCATATCATCTATATTAGTCTCAGAAAATTATTTTTTTTGAGTTTCATATCGAAATTCACTGAATAAACCGTTACAAAATTTTATTTTGGAAAAATTCAATCAAGGATACATATATATATTGTAGTTTTAAATTATAATTAATTTCATTAAATAATCAAATGTAGAAAAAGAAAAGTATAATCATTATTCCAACCGATCAATCATCAAACTATGATATATAAACAAAGAATATATTAAAAAAAGAAAAACATGGATATTAGGTGGATATTAATTATGAATCTTTATACCAAACTTAAATATAGTAATATTCATTGAAAACTGTCAAGGTGTAAACGCAATTTGGATCCTGATACAAAATGATATTTCTACGAGGTTAATTAGTAAACTTGGTATTTTGTTTTATGATTTGCATCTGTCTAAATATGCGGATTTTCTTTCTCGTTTTTTATCGATGATTAAAAATATCACATAATAAAGATAGGCATTCATAAGTCAGAGTTCGTTAACCATCTGGCCAAATACGCTAAAATTGAGTGGAAATCAGGACACACCAGTTTAGGTTCATTTATCTTGCCATTATGCTTCGTTGAATTCGCGCGGGGAATCATTAGTGTCGAAAGTAATTTTCAAAATGTTTATAAAATTTAATTTTTTTTAAATTAATAAAATTTATTCCTATTTAATAAATAAACAATGAGATTTTCAATCGTGTTAATTCATGTGTTCTTCATTTTTGATCTCTTTTTTTCATTTTTTTTTTGTTTGATTTTATTTTTGATTATATTTTTTGTTTCGTTTTAATTGAATAATATGAGTGATTCGATACAAAATTGTATAATTTTATTTAAGTGAAATATTAATAAAAGAATGAAAAAATGTTACTTAAAATAAATAATTTTTTTTCTTCAATTTTCGTAAAGTGTAATTTTTCAAAGATAAATAATTGAATTAATCCCAATTTTTCTTTGTTTATTTATTTTATTGATTGTTTCGTGTAGATAAAATTTTTATTATGATTGTATTAATACTTAAGATAAATACTTAATGATGAATACAATTCACGATATGCATCACACGAAGACAAAAAATAATTGATGCATATTTTATTTATTGAAGATTTGATTTATAATTAGAATTAATTTAATATGTATTCAAAAATGTAATCATGGATCGCTTATTTTATTTTTGGATTAATGTTTTAAGTTCCAAGTTTGTCAAATTGACAAAACAATTTCTTAAAGCGAGAATTATCTTCCATGAAATTTTTAACGTGATAAACCATTTACTTTTGTAGAAATTTTGTATTTCATTTATGATCGATGATTATTTTATTATATTAAAAAGATTACTAAAACTGATTTTCTTATATAAAATATTAAATAATTATGACTTATCAGTTGTCACCATATAAATATATTATCACTTGTTTAATGAATGCAGCTTTTTTTCAATAATCATAATAAAAATTTATTGTTATCTAATTTATTTTTTTCTATCCCCATCAAAATTTTTTTAATTGAGTCAACAAACGTTATTTGATTCTACAAGTTGAAGTAGTCTACAAATAATGATTAACTTTCTCATGTTTTTCTTTTTATTTTAAAAATCTTTCTTTTTATTATTTATTTTTTATTACTTTTTATATTATTCGCATCTGAATTTTAATATAAGATGTAAAACAAATTTGTAAAAATGATCGAATTTGTGTCAATTACGAAAGAAATTATTTATTGAATGTTCAATAAATCATATTCAAATAATTCAAACAATTATTAATAAATAATGTGATTATGTTTTTTTATTATGTTTAAAATTTAATATCAGAATCAGTAAAAAAATTATGATCTGTACTTATTTTTCTTTCATTTCTTAACTATCATATTGTTAAGAATAATAAGAATATCTTCATCTTCTCATGTAAGACAATCATAATTTTTAAGCTACTTTTATTACAAGATATTTAATTTAATACGACATACTATTCTTTCTACAAGATTCATCCTTCAGTTATAGGGTCTATGGATCAATTTCAAATGTTATAATTAAAAAGGGTACGAACGCAATTGTGTATTTATCGATATTGATGATATAATCGGAATGATAGCTTACACATATCCAATTGAAATACTAGCACATAAAAAGAGAGAAAAAAGCTTAACTATTATAATAAAATTTATCAAAAAAACTGAAATTCAAAAATTAAATTTGAAATTTAATTACAAATTCCATTTCCTGTATATTCATTTCTTATAATCACTAATGGCGGCCTTCCGTTATTCCTGTTCATTATTTCTTGATTAATAATTTATCGAATAAACAAGTTTTTTTTTTATTTTATATATTTAATTCCAATTTTTTCCATCCATCTTTTATTCTCATAATTAAAACAAAATTTCATCAAAACCGATTAAAAACCGATTTCATTTAAATTTGTTAAATTATTTCATTTTTTTCATCGATCCACCAGAACATAGCGGATGAAACAGGAAATCGGGCCAGACAGATCGGCAGAGATCAACGAAAATGGACTGCTGATATCGGCTTTCAATTTTGTCCGATCGAACTCTGGGTAAAAACCGATTTTTTTCCATAGACCAGTTGCACATAACGGTCGATGTAACAATAAACCGTCGCACGTTAGTTGCAACTAAGCTGTCGCATCCGGTCTAAGCCGGCGTAAACCAGTTTTATTTGATTTTTCTCCGGTTGTTTTCGATGAACTGAATAAGACAAAAATACGCACACATGAGTAAGCGTGAGCGTGAGCCATGCACGTTTCGTCTTATCGGTCGTGTTATCTATCGATGTGTGTCAACCGCGGGAAATTGTGCATGCACGGTTTTTTTCTGTCCACGTGATTCGAACAATCATATTCGAAGACGGAGAAAAACCCGCCACTTTTCAAAATATAATCGTTGCGCGCCATGTCGGAGAACAGTAGCGGGACGTTTGACCTGGCGATTTTCTTTCTTTGTGTCGCGATATTTTTAGAGATTGTTTTCGAAGAAGTTGCCATTTTTGTTTAGAAAGCGATGTTTCAGTATTCCGGTTTTTAACAGCATTTTTAAAGTGATTTGTGATTTGATAGTTGTAACTATTTAGTAACTTTTTATTAATCTTTCAATTGTAATTATTTTTGTATAAAATTTTATAATGAATATTTTGAGATAAGGAATTCAATATTTATTGCATTCATTTGTATCGTATGTTTATTGCATATTAAACATTTCTTTGGTATTTTTAAGATTTTAACATTTTAATATTTTTTTCTTTTAAGTTTTTGCAGAATTTTGGATCATAATCTAGATATAAAATTTTATGTTTGTTTTAATTTATCAAAAATGACTTTTTTAACTCGAGGAAGAGGTTGTAGATTATTTAGATGTTATAAAAGGATGTGAAAGATAGCGATTTGAGAAAGATTGGAGAATACTGATTCAGAAATATTTAGAACGTTTCAAAACCGTAGCTTGCAATTGCGATTATTTGGTTTGACGTGTCTTATATTAGCGGGACGATAATGAATAATATCTCAGTCTTTTTAACCATAGGCGAGTGGTTAACAAAAAATATTTGAAGTTATATTGTATTTAATAATTCTGAGATTTGCCACGAAGTGGCAAATAATAAGTTGTGTTTATTTCAAGGAGATGATTAATTTTTTATCATAATTTATATTTTATTAATTTAGTTATATTTATAATTTTTCTCGATTTTTTAATAATATTTTGAATATTTAAACAGATAATGAGTTCGAGACAAGAAAGATAATAATTGTTCAATGTCATTTCTTTAATTCTAAAAAACGATTCGAATAATTGAAAGAATTATATCAAGAAAAACAAAGCTAGATAATTTTTCAAAATTATAAATTTTGCGAAAATGGCGGTTAAACGATCATTTAATAACGGCTAAGCTCAAGGACCGACATAATATTCTTCAAAGATTATGTAATTGTCAGATACGATCAGTAATTAGATAGTTTGAAAAGGTATAACTGTTAAAACCCGGAATTTCAGTAATTAACCGATACCTAGTAAACCGTGAAGCACGTATTCCGGTGATATTTTACGTAACATAAGCATTTTCTGCATCGAATGTTTCTAAACATTGTTTCATTAATCAAACTATGATTATGATAATTCATAATGAATTTCCAATTTTTTTCTTCAAATAGATAGATCATTGCGCAACCATCTGTCCATTTATCACCTCTTTTATTCTCTATTCTAACATCGAGTATGAAATCGAAATAAACAAAATTAACAAAACCATCGAATAAGTTACTCGAAATATATTTCTATTCCATCAACGATATTTTATCATTTTTCAAACATCTTTATCACCTGGTTATTTGTATACATAAAGCTTGCATGCCATAAGTTTTCGAAGTGGACAATGGTTATTTCATGGCGGACGACAATGTTTCACGTGAAAGCTGCATGGCACGATCTAACATGGTAGAACTAGTGTGGCCTGCTGAAAGTCAAGAACTTAAGAAGGATCGAACCTTCCCCTCTCCGTTCTGTTTCACTTCTCCCACTGCCCCTTCGATGGTCAACGGGGACAGAGGCAGAAAGTCTGTGGCATACGTTTACCTTGGAAGACAGTTGCTGCAGCAACAGAACAGTCTGTGATCGTTTGACGATGTGCTATATTGCCATTTGACACGTGTCGATTCGCGATTTTTTTTACTTAATCGTGGTCGCGAAATTAACTAGTCACATATAATTAATGGACATTTGAAGAATGGCGTAGGCGATTCGCGAAAGGAAAATGAAAACCGGCTGAACACCTGTTTCGCACATGATATTTTGTTTCGTGTAACGATACATTGAGGAAGGAAACGCGCAATTTAATCGTGAGTTCAATTTCTTTTGAAATACACAATATATTTTATCGAATATATTTTTGGGAATATCGTTTCTATAAATCCTAAAATCCTTCGGTTCAATTCTTTATAAATTTTGGAATCTATAATTCGATATTTAATTTTAAATTTCTTATTATGAATGAAAGTCATCTGAATGAATGAATCATGATCGTCATTACAATATACAGGAAATTTGATCTAGATTCATTTATTTCCTGTTTGATAGATGTTGATTTAAAGTACCGTCAAATGAATATAATTATACTTTTCGTTTAGACGCTACTGTAAAATTGTGTCACATTCGCTGGAGACCTGGTTGGATTCAATTGTAAGTTGAATTAAGAAGAATAGAGATGGAAGCGTTTAAGTTGTTGGTTACAATTGAACGCACAATTGAACTGCGTTTCAAGGTAGACACTCGATTAGGTTTATTCTCTTTGTTGCATTTGTTTGGTTCCGTCTCGGTTTCGGTTGATAGATTCGCGATATTACAATTGACATACTTTAATCCACTTGAGTCGATCCCTCATATGGATCATGATAATTAATAAGAGAAAAATATTTATTTATAAATCGCATCGTAAAAGTCTTTTATGAATTTATAAAGATTAATATAAAAATTTATCGAAAAAAAGATTTTTAAATATTTTTGTTGTTAATCATATGTAACAGAACTATTCGTATAAATGGTCGGGACACAACCTGGAAAAAATTAAGAAGATGTTAAAAAGATTACTAGCAGTAACACGATATGGAGTATCGCGTAGACTTCTTTATGAAGAATTAGGAATTCCGTCGAGTCGTTTAAATTGTAAAATATATGTTAATCTCGCCATGCTTGAATAAACTAATGTGAAATTACGCATGAAGGACGTATACGATCAGCCGTGATCCATTCTTTACTTGATGTATACTTTGACAATATTTTGCGTGCAACAATGTTAAACAACGTATCGTATCTTTACCAATTATCGCCTCCGGATTTTTTTACGCGATATGTAAAAATTATGAATGATCGTCAGTGAAGTGACATTGCATTATAAAGAAAAAAAAAAATGTTATAATTGATAAAAAATATATATATATCTATAAAAGATTCTGTTCGATCATAATTATCTGTTCTTCATTTTAAATCTTTCACGTGCAACATTGCAACGCGCATATAATGTTGCAATAATCGCAATTTATTTATCCTGAAATTTCTACAAGAATAAAAAAAACGACAGAATTACGTATATGCGGGTTACATATGGGCGATAAATAACAATAAACAGAATGATTTACGACGGTATTACAGAATGTGCTCATTTTCCACGGCATCATCCGCATCCATATTTATCCGGTGAGATTGAAGGGCAGTTACAATTCATTTCCACCTTGAAACGTTAAATGGTCATCGTACACTTGATTACAGGGGAAGAGATCGTCAAGGCTTGTCATGAACGGCATATAAATGTCGCCAATGGAGACGTGCAACACTTTCAGTTCTTTTATCTCTATTAGAAAGTCAATGGCATTCTGTATAGAAAGATCGTTCTTAAATAAACATTATTAACATCCATTAATGAATCTTTGATAGGAAATAAAAATTTTTTTTTTCTCACAAATCGTGCGATCATTCGAAGAATCCCTGAAAAAGTAATCAACGAAGACGAATCAACGAAAAAATGAATCAAAACGCAGAAAAGAATCGGTAAGTTCGATTACTTTCGATAAGAATCCAACAATGAGGAGTTCGATGACGCGTTCGTTTTCATGTATATGCAAGTGGGATGATGTGAACGCCTCCGTTTGCACTGGTTTTTCCTCTATCTCTGTTTGATGTCCAGTCGCTTCGAAGCCAGTAGAAAATCGAGATTCGCCGAGAGCAGTTGAACGTGATCGCGCGCTACAACAAACGAGCACGCGGTCATCTCGATTTATCGGCATTTATCGGTGGACCTTAAACGCGAACATTTAGTTTCATCAGAATTTCAGGCAACGGTTAGTTTTATATCAACGATTTTTTTCGCCGTAACGGCGATTATAATTACCCGAGAATAAAGATCACGATTTCTCTTGGTCGATCGTTCGTTTCTGTAGCAGAGCTGACTGGATGGCAAGCGTGAAAGTTTTGTTGGCAACTGGTTTTCCATTTTTTTTTTCATTTTTTTTTCTCTTTTAGTTTTCTCTCTTTTTTTTTTTTTCGATCGTGTTCGATACTTTTATGTAATAATACTCGTGCAGAATTGCGTCGTTCCCGCGTGTGTTCCACGAGCCATTGATATTCGAACGATGACTTGACTCAGGACATAGGGTCAATGAGGAAACCTTGCCCACGGATCAGGCATAATTCTCAAATCTCTGTGTTTGCAGGCTGAAAGACGACGAGAAGGACAATATGAGACTATTTTGCGCGCAGAACGACGACGAATCGTCGACGATGAATTCCAAAGATGGTTCCAGAGGTAACGCTCACTTGTTTTCATGGTATAATTTCTGTTCAAAACTTGATAGTTTTAAACTTGATATTTGACAAAATAATCTTTGAAACGTAGTTCACAATTTCTTATTAATCATCTTATTATTATACGTTGAATTGCTGAAATGCTAATTAGGTAATAAAATTCAGAAATAATTCTTATTGCAAAACATATAGATATGCAAATTTGTAAAGTATATTAATTTTATTACTGTGTATAATATAAATTAACGTAATATAGGAAAATTATTTGTTCGCGTTTAATGAATTAAAAATTGCGTTTAAAAATTTAAAGAAAAATTAATATTTTCTCGATATATAAATATATCATTCTTGATCAAATCAGATCGCAGATGAGCCACAATATTAATTATCATGTCGATTAATCGTGTGCCAGGCCACCGACACGATTTGTTCAACGCGTCTGTTGGTCTTAATTAATCATAACTCGAATTAATCATTTACCATCGTGCCGCCTGTTGCTCGAATCGTGTGATAAGAACGTGTTCGAAGAATAACGATTTTCCGCTTATTCCACTTTTCCTTAAACAATTTATTCCGTTTGACTCGTTTCAAAGAAAAAACAAAAGATACTTAACATTCACTTAGTGACGCTGTTCATTAACAATACCTAAATCAATTAAACTAAATGAATTAGAGTGAGGTTTCTAGTCAAAGTTTAACCCAAGCGTAACGCGACAACTTCCGTTTGACCGACGATAAGGAAACGCGAAAAAGAAAATGAGAGTTCGTTTTAGCGATGACGAATCGATGGTGGTTCGTATATCTGATTAATTTTTGGTCGCGAAACGAAACTCGTCGTAATTTAAAAGGAAATTATCTTTGCGCGCGAAGAAAGAGAGCGTGGGTGATCAAATTCTTCTCTTTTCCATTTTCTTCTTATTTTTTTTCATTTTTCGCAGTTCCACGAGAGAAATATCATTGCATATATCAACAGCAGACACTTGATTTTCACGGTGGAATCTGTTTGCGTTAAAGATCGAGAATGTCGCGTATTCCACTCTTCCTTTTTCATTTTCTCGAATATGGGAATTTTCGAGCAGATGAATCGAACGGTATCGTTGATCATCGGGAAATGGTATTTTCGTAGGGGACAGGAAGCAGGAAGTGGATCGCTTCGGATACTATCAAATGATCATGTTCGCGATAATCAGCCTGCCTCTGTTCTTGTCAGCAGGATTCACGCTTGCCTACGTGTTTACAGCCGGGGAAGTTAAATACAGGTACGTTACCACTGATGCAACTTGTGATTCGATCGGTGATATCTATTTTTTTTTCTCCTTCATTTTTTCCTTGTATTTTCGCATAATTTATCATGTGTATCCGCATCTCTTTTGAATCGTGAATCGCATTTCTCAAGGTAGACAGCCGTTTATGGACGAATAAATTCTTGAGAGTAGGCTTGAATAATGCGCGGCGATCAAATACAATCAGCGAGGAATAACCTAATGTACCGCGACCACGAAGATTGATCGAACATCGAAATTATGTAATCGATTACTTTATTAGCAACCCGTTAATTCTTTCGCGGTAGATGAGAGTTGAGCGCTTGCTGATGATCGGTATGAACAATTTTAGCGCGTTTAAAGGAAATTATCACATTCTTTGATAAATTTAACGTTTATTATTGGAATACGGATATTTTACGCAAATTGAAAATTTTTTAATCGTAATTAGGCAAGGCAATTGATAAAATAATATTCAAATTGTAATCATCTTATTTTAATTTTTAAATTAAATAACAAATATTATTATATATCATTATATATATAACAGTATATTTATTCTTGAATTTGGTTTTATGAAATGGATTTGTAAAATTGATCATTTATTTCATATGCAAAATTCTAATATTTTATTTTGAATATTTTATGTCTTTTTGCATATCATTTTGCAGATTTATGTTCATTTACATTTTCTATGAATGCATAAATATCCGCAGTCTAGACGCTATAGAATAAAATATCCTGGAATACGTGGAAATGTTGATCGTTGGTAAACTAAACGAAATTAATTTAAATTAAATTAAATTTATGAAATTTTTTTTTGATTTTTTAATTTTTAAAAATTTTTAAAAAAATTTTTTTTAAAAACTTGATGAATAATTATAATAAATACTTTAATATATATCTCTTTTTTCAATCTCTTTTCATAACTTAAAAAAAAATGTTCTTTAGTATATAATCGTGTGACAGGTGTACGGTGTCAGAATGCGAGAATTCATCGAACACGCAATTCAACGTGCCTTGGATGATTGATTCCGTCCCGGATGTATCCGAGACGTCCAAATGTATCCGTTATGTCGTACAAAATCACACAGGGGCGTGCACAAACGAAACTTTCAGTAACGTTACCAAAAGGTGCGATTCATGGATCTACGATCCATCCGAGAATACGATTCAAAGCGAGGTAAAAATCTGTTTTAATCCTTTGATCGATTAAAATTAACCAGCTCGAAACAATTCACGTTATTCGTTATTCGTTATTTTATCATTACAGTGGGACATTACCTGTGACACCAATCGATGGAAACTCACTCTTGTGGGCACGGTAAATAACATCGGTCAATTCGTCGGGCTGATCTTTGCCGGCTACATATCAGACAGGTAAGAAATAATCGAAATTTACTTCGAAAGATCCTTAATTAGCCTCTATTAGATCGGATCGGATCCAGGAAATGAAATTCTTGGTACGAATCGGATGTCTAATCACGTTCGATCGAGGAGGAGTGTGAAATAGAGGTTTTTCGATGGGTGTAACGTTTCAGCGGAGAGGATTCGATCGGATTCAACAGGTCGTTGATGTCCATCTATCGAAATCCTCTCGTAAAACGTGATAAAAATATCAGAGATGGTTAAGATTGCCGATAATCCGGTGAAATCGAAATGTAGGAAACCGAACGGTCTGATCTATGAACTTTTTGCCGGATCCATCGTACGTAGCTCGAATTTAAGGATGCTCAGTTTTTACACCGTTTTATGGCACGTGCTCAAGAATCACCAGGGAATCGGAAACTCTGAACGGACGAGACTTTCACGAGTTGGATCGCAAATTCTAATTCGAAGTCGGGGAATACTTGAGATCGTCCAGAGGGGGGAATGTATTTAAATGAAACTGTACTTTGGACCAACTTCCCAAGATCTATGATAACGATTCGAACTTGTTTCTCGAGACATCCTCGTTTTCGAGGCAATTTCTCGTACCGATGTCAAAAATCTTCTCGATCTTCGTATGTATCGAAAAACATCGTTCGCCGAAGAGTTTTAAAAGTTTTTTATTCGTCGACGATAAGAAGTCGAAGAATCACCGTCGTCGCGAAACTTGTCCGCTTATGTAGGATTCTGTTATTTTTCAGATATGGAAGACGCACGATACTGACGCTCACCACATCCCTGAGCGGAATCAGCGGTCTGATACATTCCTTCTCCGTGAATTATTGGATGTTTCTCGCGTTCGAATTTATCGACGCGACTGTCGCGGCCGGTATCTACAGCGCTGGATTTATTTTAGGTGAGTTAATAACGAGGCAAAGTAAGGGAAGATGTTGGACGTGAATAATGCCGGTATAAATAACGGCCATGTTTCACATGCCAACGAATACTCGATGCAGGAACCTTTCGATATCGAAAAACGTAACCGAAGGTAACCGTAACCATGGTCGGTTCTCCGGTTTGCCATTGCCATGCTGTAATTCCTTCGATATTTCATTCGTATGGGATATAGTGTGCTTCGAAGCATACTGCGTGGAGTAATTCTAATAATTTTACGATATATCAGTGAAACATCTATTTCGTGCAATTTCATTAAAAAAACCGATTCCTCGTGGATCAGAGTCAACGTTGATCGATTTTCAGGGATGGAGATGGCAGGGGTAAGAGGCAGAGTATTAGCCAGCACAATTATCTGCTGCATGTTCGCAGTCGGTGAGATGTTACTCGGATTGATAGCGATGTGGCTTAGATCATGGCGATTGATCCTTCGCATGGTGTACGGACCGGCATTGCTGGCCATCTTATTGCCGCTCCTTATCCCAGAATCAGTCAGGTAATTTTCCTTGCTTGATCGCTTAATTCGCATTGTCCGGGCGCCTCGTTAACGATCTCGAAAAGAATTTCTTTAAACGAGTCGGAGAAATAGTCGCGCGTATTACGTTTTATGACGTGTTCGGTCGATTAACCGGTGAATCTTTCACGTCATTATATATTTAATTGGATCCGATTCTCTCTTTCTCTTTGATTAATTAACGCGTATACCGCTTATAATCTTAGGTTCATATCATTTTAGCGAATCACTTTCTTATCTCGTTCCTTTTTTTTTGTGTACGCCATAGGTTATCGATAAAACGTGTCCTATACAAGCGTAAAAACTATCGTTTTCCCCTTCGAACATTACTGTAGAAAAAAAAAAAAAATGAATGAACAAACAATGAAAAAAAAAAAAACATACACACACACAATGATGCCATTTTAAAGGTGGCTATTGGCGAATGGGAAACAGGAAAAGGTGGAGAGTATATATCGAAAAATGGCGCGTATAAACGGGCTTCAAATCTCGGAAGAGGCGATCGGAGCGTTTAAAGATTTGAACATGGTGAAGACTGAAAAAGTAAGACGAATTGACAATTTTTTTTTATTATATTTTTAATAAAACCGAATTAAATTAATTATGCCTGACTAAATTTATCTTATTTTTCAGACAGAACAAATAGTGATGACCGAAAAGAAGTCACCGATTATGCAAATATTGAATAGTTCGGTGATGCTCACTCGGTTGTTGGTGTGTTCGTTTTGCTGGTTAACGAACACTTTCGTCTATTATGGATTATCGTTGAATTCGGTGGCTTTCGCTGGTGACAAATACGTTAATTTCATATTGGTCGCCATCGTGGAAATCCCGGCTTACTTTTTGACCTGGTTTCTGACCGATTACATCGGCCGTAAAACTACTCTCTCCTCGTCTTTTTTGCTGAGCGGAGCTTTTTGTCTGGCTATACAATTCGTACCTACAGGTAAACACAAATTCATTCTTGAAATTCCTCACTTGTAATTTACAGCGCTATGAACACTTTTGATTAATTACAAAAAGATGTTAAATATCGATACATTAACTTTCTATTATTTATTCCAGATTCATTGAACTTTCTACCATTGATTCTGTACATGGGCGGGAAATGGTGCATTACGATGTCCTTCTCGACGATTTACATTTATACAGCGGAACTGTTTCCCACAAACTTGAGACACTCCCTCCTTGGAATTTGCAGCATGACTGGCCGCATGGGGTCAATATTGTCACCGCAAACTCCTCTTTTGGTGAGTCGACTACCGCAAGAATGTACATCGCGGAGACCGATACGGACCGCTTGTTGATTGTTTGCATACTACTTCAAACAATATGGCAAAGATTCTATATCTTTACATACCATTTATCTTTTGTGTAACTTTATTTATTGCATTGTGAAATCATTACATTGATTAATTGATTATCATCCATTCAGAAGATATTATATTTTTTATTTTCCAATTAAAATGTTATATTGTCCACGATTCCGTTTCCAAAAACAATTGCTACAGAATAATTAACAGATATTTTTTTGTTTGTTTTTTTTTTTTTTTTTTTTTTGATCTATTTACATAGCTATTTTTATGTCACAGGCACAATTTATGCCCGAATTACCATTGATACTGTTTGGATGTATGGCGTTATTCGCGGGACTGCTTTCTTTGTTCTTCCCGGAAACATTGGGGACGAAACTTCCGGATACGGTGTGGGAGGCAGAGAATATCGGCAAAGAGCAGCAGAAGCAGGAATTACAGGATTTGCCGTCTTAAGAATGGACGAATATATCGGGACGAGTTATAAATCCGACACGAAAAAACGTATAAAAATGGAAGAAAGAAGGAGAAAAAGAAAAAAACCAACGAGACATAAAAGAGACGAGAATTAAGAAGAAATCAAATTGAGAAAAAATGAAAGAAGCAAAAGAAACGTAACATTGCAGCAATGGCTTTCAAAAGTTTCCCTTTCTTCCGGCATGAAAACTATCGACCGTGACTATTCGCTTCGCGGTTTGAAAGCTCGCGAGAGGCAGAAAAAGAGAGAGAGAGAGAGAGAGAGAGAGAGAAATGAAACATGCGGTAAAACTCCGGAAGTGAAGGGAGCTTAAGCATACTTCTATATATGTATGTATAATACCTACAGAATATTTGCTTGCCTTTGAAATTGACATAGTTCAATCGCGATCAATTTGCCATAAAATCGACTAGTTACAAAGAGTCGACGAGTCATCGATTGTAGAGGAAATGATAGAGGAGAATGAAAAAGTTTACCCCGAGGGAAAATTGGCATCATATTGGTAAAGAAAGTTCGAAAAATTGAAAGGTCGGAAAAATTTGAAACATTATGGAAATTTAATTCAAGAGATGATTTTTTGTTCTGGTAAAAAGATGAAATTAACTCTCAAAAAAAAAAAATTCTTGTGAATAGTTATAAATTGTATAAGATATGTTCAAAATATATGATATATCTTTTTATTTTGATAATCAATTATCTATCTAATATCATTTTGATATTCAATTATTTATCTAATCTAGTATATTTGAATTCATTTTTGATTTTAGAAGATAAAAATTGGTGTCAATGATTACAATTTTATATTATTATTATATAAGATTTATATCATATTCGACATACTTTTTAAATTTAAAAAGTAAATATGTACATTTAAAATATGTTATTAATCTTACTAATTGTTTTAAAAAATCACGTTTGAAATTTATTTTATGCAATGAAACGAAATCTCCTCCTTTAAATAAAAAAAAAATTTATTGCTTTTAGATTTCATTTTCGTAAATCCATGTCATGAATGATATATCTTCTGTCCAAAGATTATATGAAATATCAGTATTTTATCAATACATATTCTGCTATAAGATAAATTATATTTATTTTTAATACATCTTATAAAATGAATTATGATATTTTACTTTACATTGTCGATTTGAAGTGTTATCTTTGTTAATGTTTGTTAAATTTATTTTCACTAGTTTTAACAGTTTGAAAGTTCGTAAAATGTTAATTAAAAATATTTTCTGCGCTTTAGAAAGCGTGCTTCAAAAGTGGAGAATACTTGGAGAGCAATTGACGAAGTGATTGAAAAGCATTGCTTTTATGCAAAAATGACATACACAATTATTATTGACCCGCTTTTTATCCGACAAATAATTACAATTTCCAAATATCAGTATATATAGCAAAATATCGATACATTGTATCACGCACAATTTACTTGTGACTCTATGCTGTTGAGTTATTTATGTATCATATTCTAACAAAAGATAAATTACTTTTTACAACAGATTTTTATCTGTATGATTAATAACATGATAAACAAACTACATGATATAACAGAAAGCTCGATAGCATAATTAAAGATTATAATACGTGTAAATTTTGAGAAAAGAAATACTTTTAAAAAATTCTTTATTATATTTGAATTTAAATATTCACAAGAAAATGAAATATATCATATTTATTTCGAGAGTTGATTTCACATCCTATAAATTATATTTTTACCCAAATAAAAAGTTATAAATACCTGAAAAGTTTCAAATTTTTCTGTATTTTATTGAAATATTGAAATTTTTTTATAAATGAATAATTCATATTTATTGCTTATAATTACCGGATACCGCGCGAGATCGTTTCACTTTCCTTTGTTCGTATACGTCATCCGTTTCATGAATTTTTAATACGATTAATTATAGCTCATTACAGCCAGTTAAGGTTATCATTGACGTATCCGTGTTATCAGACGTCAAAACGTCTTCGTATAATGGGTAACGCATACATATATACGCACGTCATAGATTACCGTATGATGCTTCTTCCATTTAGGAATGAAAACATAATTGTGCTCAGGAATTTACACAGTATTGCTGCATCATGTTCGTAAACATATATATTAATCGGTAATTATGTCAATTATGTTAGGTCCTGTCTGTATTTCTGATTTAAATATTTCAGAATTATATCATCTTTGTCATACTGCAAGGACTATAAAGCATCGTGCCATGATAATGCATCATCTAGAAAAATGAAGTTAATAATAGCAATAATTTATAATTTCATGTATAAATATATATATATATATATTTACGTGAGAATATTATTATTCTGAACAGGAACGAATGAAGAATTAGATGAATCAGTAGACACGATTTATAATACTGATGATAAATTAGCGAATTAGCCTTAATTATAATTATTATTATTATTTTGAGCGAGTATGCCTATGTATTAAATATCCATAATTCCAACGAGTACTTCACCGATGAATATTTAGTTAACTATGTACAAAGCGTATAGAATAATTGTGAGAATTGTATAAGAATATACACGGTGATACACGTCACGGTGCTGTTCCAGAGGATTATAGAGAACGATTGTATCAAGAATGATACTCGTGACGATGGAAATATTTTGTCAGGCTATTTGCAGCTCTTATGAAAACTGAACTATTTCAAGTGAGTATTATTAATTTGTTGCCATAGAGTATTAACTGAAATATTATGTAAATATCTACGAATACGGTGATATCTGCGTGATACGAATAACTCACAAGCTTGTACATAGAACGTCGATATCGCGTAAGATATTTCCATCGTGTTGCGAGTTGCAGAATTATATCGACCCACTTCATAAATAATCATATTTGTTAAAATCGAGATAAGAATATTCATATATAATAAGATATACCAGACATTAATGTAACATAAGATGTATACATAATTCTGAATATATACAAACATTTATGAAATCTTGATTGTTGTTAATATTATCCTCATCTGCCAGAGTTCAAAATTCTTGCTATACTTTGAAACAGTATTTTGAGAAACTTTTATTTATACATTTAAACATAATATTATATTTAACGTAATTTGTTCTTAACCAATTAGTTTTTTATTTAAGTTAAAAAAATCCAATTTGATTCTTTCAATACTAGGTGTTGATATATTTATAGAACTTTTTTTGAAAAAATCCAAACAATTTTAATGTAATTACTTTGATCTCTGGAATCGATCCTCCTCAAAAATATTTCGTAAATGTATTAACAGTTTATGCTGGAAATAAGATTTATTTAAAGAACTCCATTTAAAAAAGAAAGTTGATACAATTGTCGGATGACTCTCTTTATATATATATTATAGCAAATAACTTTTATTCGACAAATTTTTCTCTTACTCTTATAATTTTTGAAGATAATTCAAATGTTTATTTATTTATTTTTTTTGGATCTCCCTGTGTAATTATACTTTTTTACATAAAAATTAGGAGGAAAAAAAAATATAAAAAAAAAAGGGACATCACGACATTGAAGATATTGACGTTTCTGAATATTCCGCATCTGTGTTCTTCTGAATTAAATGAAAGTACGCTATTATCTACTTTCATTTGGATAAAATGGAAGGCAAAGTTGGCTTTTGTGATGCATAAAAGAGTTAGATGCGACGCGAGATCCGGCGCTTGATATTAAAGTATTAATGCCGCGTAACACCGTTTCCATCCCCGTCCGAGGGATATTTTAATATAAACGGGGAATTTAGATATTTCACTTTGACAAATTCTCGACCTCCAACTGCTCAAAGGAAATTGAAGCTAGCCAACGACTGCAGTAGGGCCGTGTACACGATGGTTGGTTATTTTATGTTTACAGATGACTCGACATCCCATAATAAATATCGTTGCCCGGTCCACAAATCTTCGGTGCATCGCATTTGTCCCCGTTTCTTTTTTCTTATTCATGAAACCGCGCTGGACGTCCTCTCCTTTTACGTATCTTGGCGCCGTTGGCCATCGTCCCGCCTTAACATTATGAAAATCTCAATAACATCGAGAGAAATATAGCTCTACCTCATTCCTTTGTAGGTATAGAACGAAACGTTTTTCTCTAGATATATTCAGAATAAATTTCTGACGAATTCGATTGACAGAGGAACAGGGAGAATCTTAATCGAGCAAATGATAATTATCCGTTCCATTCACCGACTACTTCGATGATACTCAAAGAGATTTTCATATACAAAATTTTCATTTTTAAACGCGAAACACGTTCGAACGAAATCTCGTGATTCGTGCAAACGCGTTATCACTGTGTTTCCTTTATTACCATAAACAACGAGAAATAACGAGAACGGAACCAACGGGAGAAACACGTTAATATTCCAATAATATTCGTAATGGATATTCAACATCGGTATTGTTTCGTTCTAACGAGGACGATAAAAATTTCCTCCCTGTTGCCTTGTAATTGTTGCGAATATATCTCTCGATGGAAGAGCCACTCCGAAACGGGGAATTTAATTAATATAATGCACGCGGATCCGCGGCCGAGTGGTAGTTTCCTTTCATCCAGGTCTCTCGATCGGTCGAACCGAGATGAATGCACCACTGTTCACCCCTTGTGAGTCTATAAATCCGGTGGTACGCGGATTCGTGCATCGGATGCATCTTCGACGAGCGCGTATCGTGTTCGCGCATCTATGTACGTACCACCTTCATCCGGGATTAACTACATGTCCGAGGGGTGGTTGGGGGTGTTGGAGAGGGGAGGATATGCTTTCGATCCGGCTACGGTTTCCCGTACAAGCGCGTTTATCGACGACCACGCGAGAAAAGAAGAGAGATGGAGGAGAAAAAAAAAATGAAAAAGAGAAAAAGAGAATTCCAGACGTGAATAATCCTGGGGAAAAGGAAAAGGCGTATCGATACACGTTTCTTTGTTCGAAGGTAGATACGTTTCCAAACGCTACCCCTCTAGTTTCCGTGGTTGCAATCCTCGTTTGAGTTAGTGCTCTACGTCTGAGTGAGATGTTGTTATCGATGCTGTTCCTGGAAAAGGATAATGAAGATACGCGAGTCGTTGATCGAAGGGAAATGAAAAATCGTCTCTCTCTTTTTCTTTGCTTTCCTTTGAATTTTAACATTTTTATCGTTTCTCTTTGAATTCGTGAAAACAAGTGAATCGTGTTGGGATGTATTTGGAATAATTTTTCAATTGAATAATTCGATTACTTCTAACGGTAAAAAGAAAGACCAAAGTAGATGAAAATCTTGAAATGATCTTGAATAATCTTCATTCAATTCCATCCTTGTATCTTTATTACGCCTAACAATTTTTCAACGTGTTTTATTCTCGAAAAACCGATCAAGTATTCTTTTTATCACGTCTGGTTTCGTTTTCAAAATATGTATTCTCATCGTGTATTTTCCGAAAGGATTGTAGAACTTTAGATGGAGAATTTCAGATGGAAACGTAGCGGGTTATAGGATTTTCAAAATTTTTAATCTCCGTGCTGCTAAAACGGAAGGTTGAAACTACAACGATGGTCAATTTTTTTTTTTTTTTACAGGAAAGCGTTCTCTCCGACCGAGGTATCGATTAAACGGTTGATAGCAATTTCCTGCAGACGGCGAGCCGATTCGTTAACACGAAAATATGATACGGATTTTATTAGCGCGTGAAATGGAAGCGATTTTGTTT